AGGGAGAGGGAGGGAGAGAGAAAGAGAGAGAGAGAGAGAGAGAGCAGATCAGGCGGAAATCTCACCGGAGAAGCGCATTTTAAGGGCTCCTTCGCAAGGCCGAAGACGGGATGACAGCGGAGAAGGCCAGGATCCTGTTCCCAGCAGCCTCAAACCTTGCAAAGTCAGGAAAGGTGAATGCCAAAGTCTAGCCAAGCCTCACGTTTTTAACCCTGCATTGTCCAGCACCAGCTCCTCCAGGTGATGGGACTTGCTCACCGTGTGCAGAATCTGCTCGGCTACTTCGGAGCCCTGGAAAAAAGGAAAGGAAAGGAAAGGAAAGGAAAGGAAAGGAAAGGAAAGGAAAGGAAAGGAAGATAGAAGAAAGGAAAAGAAAAAAATAGAAGAAAGGAAAGGAAAGGAAAGGAAAGGAAAGGAAAGGAAAGGAAGGATGGAAGGAGAGATGGAGACAGAAGCAGAATTTGAGCCAGCCTGGCCCACTGGACCTCCAGCCAGACTTTTGAGCAAGCTCCTCATCCCTCCCTCCCTCCCTCCACCTACTAGCCAGCCAGCCAGTCATCCATCCCTCCATCTATTCATCCATCCATCCACCCATCCATTTTTCTATCCATCTATTTCTCCATCCAACTTTCCATCCATTAATTCATCCATCCATTTATCTTTCCATCACTCTGTCCATCTACCGCCCATATATCATCCATCCCTCCATCCATTCTCTTCCCATCCCTCCATCCATCCATCCATCCATCCATTTATCCATCCATCCATCCATCTTTTCATCCATCTACCCATCCTCCCACTCACCCATCCATCCATCCATCCTTTCATCCATCCATTTATCCATACACCCATCCTCCCACTCACCCACTCACCCATCCATCCATCCTTTCATCCATCCATTTATCCATACACCCATCCTCCCACTCACCCACTCACCCATCCATCCATCCTTTCATCCATCCATTTATCCATACACCCATCCTCCCACTCACCCACTCACCCACTCACTCACTCACATGACCCCGGGACTCTGTGACTTTCGTAAACATGAGTCAGTTGCCAAGTGTCTGAATTTTGATTACGTGACCCTGGGGGTGCCGCAGCAGTCATAAGTGTGAAAAACGGTCATACAGTAAGTCACTTTTTTTCCAGGTCATTGTAACTTTAAAGCAGGGGTCTGGAAACTTGGCCCTTTTATGACTTGTGGACTTCAACTCCCAGAATTCCTCAGCCAGGCACGCTGGCTGAGGAATTCTGGGAGCTGAAGTCCACAAATCATCCAAGGGCCATGTTGGAAGACCCCTGCTTGTGGACTTCAACTCCCAGAATTCCTCAGCCGGGCACGCTGGCTGAGGAATTCTGGGAGTTGAAGTCCACAAGTCATCAAAGGGCCGAGTTTCAAGACCCCTGCTTTAAACGGTCACTAAGTGAACTGCTGTTAAGTCGAGGACTGGCTGCAGTGAACAGAAAGTGACCACAGATAAGAAAGGACTCAAAAACAGTCACGGGAACCTACCAGCCGCAAATCCTTGCAGTAAAGTTTGGTAAACCACTGGTTGTAAGCCAAAGCTGCCACAATCAAAGCCAGGTCTCTGGGACGTGAGGAAAAAATGGAAAAGAAGGGAGAAAAAAAGTTAGAAGGAGCATAAATCAGTAATGGTTTGTCTCAAAAAGTTGTCCTCTGCTTTGAAAACTCACCCTAGAGACAGAGTTTCTCAACCTTAATCCCTTTAAGCTGCCTGGACTTCAACTCCCAGAATTCCTCAGCCAGCATTTTTGGCTGGGGAATTCTGGGAGTTGAAGTCCACGCGGCTTAAAGCGGCAGAGGTTGAGAAACAGTGTCCTAGTCCAGGGGTAGGCCGCCTTGGCTCTTTTATGACTGGTGGACTTCAACTCCCAGAATTCCTGAGCCAGCCAGGCTGAGGGGAAAGGGAGAGATTTCCAAGCTGAGCCAGGCTGGCTGAGGAATTCTGGGAGTTGAAGTCCACGAGTCATAAAAGAGCCAAGGTTGCCTACCCCTGGTCTAGGGATTCCTGCCTGAGCCAAAGTTCCCTCACGCTGACTCAGGAATTCTGGGAGTTGAAGTCCACGAGTCATCAAGGGAGCCATAGTTCCCCCATGCTGGCTCAGGAATTCTGGGAGTTGAAGTCCACTAGTCATAAAAGAGCCAAGGTTGCCTATCCCTGTCCTAGAGCATTGGAGTCCCTGAGGAAAGAACAAAAAGAAAACGAAAGAAGGGACTGAAGGAGGACAGAACCTCGGCTGATTGATGACACTACAACTCCCATGTTCCTTGGTGGGAAGGGAGAGCCACCGTCTTTTATTCCCCCAATTGATAATTTTCCAGTTTTAAAAACCATCCTCTCTCAAAGAGGGAGTGCTTTCAAATTCTGAATCTTATCGAAGACGACCAGCAGATTACCGCTTTGGAAGGTCTCCACAATGATTAAGATTAAGACTAAAATTAAAATTAAAATTAAAATTAAAATTATTAAAATTAAAATTAAAATTAAAATTAAAATTAAAATTAAAATTAAAATTAAAATTAAAATTGGGATTAAGATTGGGATTAAGGTTAAGATTGGGATTAAGGTTAAGATTGGGATTAAGGTTAAGATTGGGATTAAAATTAAAATTAAAATTAAAATTAAAATTAAAATTAAAATTAAAATTAAAATTAAAATTAAAATTAAAATTAAAATTAAAATTAAATTAAAATTAAAATTAAAATTAAAATTAAAATTAAAATTGGGATTAAGATTAAGATTGGGGTTAAGATTAAGATTGGGATTAAGATTAAGATTGGGATTAAGGTTAAGATTGGGATTAAGATTAAGATAGGGATTAAGATTAAGATTAAATTCCAGGATTATCGAACACAACAGGGAGGAATCAGAAAGGCAAGATGGCCGCTGTAGCTGCACCTAGATATTCTCGTTTTTTGATAAATTAACACATCAGGCTTAACTCAGTAACTGAATCTACCCCTTTCCAGATTCCCATCATTTGCTGGGGTTTGCGGAACGAACTAAACCATTTAACGATGGGTAGAATTCAACTCCCAGAATTCCCTTGTTCTGGACTTGAGAAGAGAGGGGAGTCAGCTGGGTAATGGGGGGGGCCTCCAAAGGGAGCTTCTCACCGACTTTCCAAGTGGGAAAAATCCAACAGGTTGAACTCCCGGTTGTCTTCAGAATGATAAATCGTGTCCACATCCTGGAAGCGGTTGAGGGCCGGAGAAAGGAAAACATTCAATCATTTTTACAGTTAGAGTGGATTCCTCCCAGGACCTCCAGCAGCTCCTTAAGCACCCGTGTTCTTCCCCTGTTCTCCTCTGTCCCTATTGTCATGGCGTGTGGGAAGGACCTTGGGAGCCGGAGGGAAAGCGGCAGAGGAGAGAGTGGGTAAATAAGAAGCTGCTGAGCTCTCAGAAGAAACGGGACTGGAGGAGACTTTTTGGAGAAGACAAGAGGGGAGGCTAGAGGGAAGGAGAGGAGAGGAGAGGGAGGAGAAGGAGAAGGAGAGGGAGGGAGAGGAGAGGAAAAGAGAGAGGGGGCGAAGGAGAGGAAGGGGGAGAGGAAAAGATAGGAGAGGGAGAGAGAGAGAGGGAAGGAAGGAAAGGAAGAGGGGAGCGGGAGAAGAGACCAGAGGAGACAGAGGGAAGGAGAGGAGAGGAGAGAGGGAGGGAAAGGAAAAGGAAAGGGGAAAGGGAGAGTGGGAGAGGGAAGGAGAGGGAGGAGAAGGAGAAGGAGAGGGAAACGGAAGGAGAGGGAGGGAGAGGAGAGGAAAAGAAAGAGAGGAGAGGAAAAGAGAGGGAGAGAGGGGGGAAGGAGAGGGAGAGGAAGGGGGAGAGGAGAAGATAGGAGAGGGAGAGAGAGAGGGAAGGAAGAAAAGCGAGAGGGAGAGGGGAGAGGGAGAAGAGAGCAGAGGAGAGAGAGGGAAGGAGAAGAGAGGAGAGGGAGGAGAAGGAGGGGAAAGGGAAAGAGAAAGAGAGGGAGGGAAGAGAAGGAAAAGGAGAGGGAGAGGGAGAGGGAAGGAGAGGGAGAAGGGAGAAGGAGAGGGAGAGGCAGACGAGAGGGGGAGAGGGAAAGGGAAAAAGAGAGAGGGAGAGGGAGAGGAGAGGGAGAGGGAAGGACGGGGAGAGGGGAGAGGGAAGGAGAGAGAGAAGGAAGGAAGGTGGGAGAGAAGGAACGAAGGAACAAAGGAAGGAAGGAAGGAGAGAGGGGAAGAAAGGAAGGAAGTCAGTTTTGCTCAAGAAAGCAAGCCATCCCTCAGTCTTCTCAGCTGGTCAGCTCACCCACTGAACTTCTTCCCGGCAAGACTGTCCGTTGTAATCGCAAAGGGCCGCATACGTTTCAGAGAAACCTCCTGGGGACGAGGGAAAAAAGAGTTATATTCCCTCTCCACGGCCTTTCTGGAAAAGCTTGACCAGCTGAGGATCAGATTTGTACCTGCCACCTTCTTAACAAGAGTTCCCGTTTTATTCGTAACGCAAACCTCGCATCCAGACAATCTTCTAGTGTCTCAGGAAGACCTGGGGCGAGAAACATCTTCCCGAAATCCTAGCAAAGCGATTTTTTCCTCTCCAAATTCTGTTTCAAGCAAGGCTAGATAGAGCCAATCATTTCTGACTAGGTCGATAACGTTGATATTGATCATCCTTAGCCTAAATATCATCAAACGTTTAGAACGAGGCCACAACCAGTAGCAAAGAATTATGTTTAAAATGGACTTTTCTGCGATCGGCTTTCCTTGAAATGAAACCACTGCCTCTCCAGGCAATATATCTTTGATAGCCAAGGGGCTGGAGGGACGAGACAGAAATATGATTTATAAGCTTCTAAAGCCTCGGTGGCTGCGAGCGCTTAAAAGCAGAATACCAGGCTAAGTGGAGCTCCTCCGATCCAGCAAAGCAATTTGTAGCTTTTTAGAAGAACGCTTCCGGGATTCGGGTCAGTGGGCTAAGTGGAAAATGCCATTCGCTGTAATTAAAATTTCATACAATTCGCTTCGAAGGAAGAGAGCCGTGCCTAAACTCTCTGGACTACGAGGATACGGGGATGAAAACCCGGGCGGACTCCGCGCGCGCGCCGAATCGCCTTCTCACCGCAAATGCTGTGAATGGTGGAATTCGAACTTTCCGAATTGGGGGAGACGTCCCGGGAAGTTTCCGGAGTTTCCACGTTCCCGTGCCGGATCAGGCAGCTGGAATGGAGTAAGGGGGGGGGGGAAGAGAAAGGAATTTATATCAGGAGCACCTGAGATCTTATACCTTTCTCACACAGTCTGCGTGGTAGTCCTCGCTTAGCGACCGTTCCAAGTTGCGATGGACCCCGGTTTTAAAATCCTGATGCTGGACTGTGAGCACATTTTGGGAGCTCAGCAACCGGCCCACATTTATGACCGTTTGAACGGTCACTAAATGAACTGTTGTAAGTTGTGGACTAGCTTTACCAGCAACCTCCCCCCCCAAAAAACCCCAAAACACCAGGCATTTTTTTATCATTTCCCAGCATTCCTGCTTTTTCTCGCCTACTCACACAGAAGCCGGACTGGGGAAAATTTTGGCTAAGGCAGAGTTGACGTGTCTGGTCACCTGTCCGGCACTTTCTGGGGTTGGAAATTTCAGGTTGTAATTTGCTTTCTCTGTTTCCACCAAGATCTGGAAGGAAGGAAGGAAGGAAGGAAGGAAGGAAGGAAGGAAGGAAGGAAGGAAGGAAGGAAGGAAGGAGAGAAAAAAGAGAGAGAGAGAAAGAAAGAAAGAAAGAAGGAAGGAAGGAAGGAAGGAAGGAGAAAAAGAAAGAAAGAAAGAAAGAAAGAAAGAAAGAAGAAAGGAAGGAAGGGAAGGAGAGAAAAAAGAAAGAAAGAGAGAGAGAGAAAGAAAGAAAGAAGGAAGGAAGGAGAGAAAGAAAGAAAGAAAGAAGAAAAGAAGGAAGGAGAGAGAGAAAGAAAAAAGAAAGAAAGGAAGGAAGGAAGGAAAGAAAAAGAAGGGAGACAAAGAAAGAAAAAGAAAGAAAGAAAGAAAAAAGGAAGGAAGGAAGGAAGGAAGGAGAGAGAGAGAGAAAGAAAGAAAGAAAGAAAGAAAGGAAGGAAGGAAGGAAGGAAGGAAGGAGAAAAAGAAAGAAAGAAAAAAAGAAAGAAAGAAGGAAGGAAGGAGAAAAAGAAAGAAAGAAAGAAGGAAGGAAGGAAGGGAAGGAGAGAAAAAAGAAAGAAAGAGAGAGAGAGAAAGAAAGAAGAAAGGAAGGAAGGAGAGAAAGAAAGAAAGAAGAAAAGAAGGAAGGAGAGAGAAAGAAAGAAGGAAGGAAGGAAGGAAGGAAGGAGAAAAAGAAAGAAAGAAAGAAGGAAGGAAGAAAGAAGGAAGGAAGGAAGGGAAGGAGAGAAAAAAGAAAGAAGGAGAGAGAAAGAAAGAAGGAAGGAGAGAATGAAAGAAGAAAGGAAGGAGGGAGAGAGAGAAAGAAAAAAGAAAGACAGAAGGAAGAAAGGAAAGAAAAAGAAGGGAGAGAAAGAATGAAAAATAAAGAATGAAGGAAGGAAGGAAGGAAGGAAGGAAGGAGAGAAAGAAAGAAAGAAAGAAAGAAAGGAAGGAAGGAAGGAAGGAAGGAAGGAAGGAACTTCGTAAAGATCGATCCTCCAGCCAATAAATAATACCAATTAACTTTTTTAGCGAAATGGGCCGTTTCTTACCTGGTTATGATTCAATGTGTTTAATGCTCGGATCTCCAAGACGTTGAACGAGGTTTCGGGCTACATAAGAGAAGGAAGAAAATGAGTCTTGATTTGTACAGCTATAAAATTTACATTTTGTTTGAGTCGAGTGCTGTGTGTTTTTTCTTGACAACAGTACAGGATAGGCATTTTCCTGATTCCTTTGTGTTGTTTTTTTAACCCACAATGTGGGGACGTTAAACCTCCAAGGTCTAAGAATTTTATTCTGTTCCGTTCCGTTCCATTCCATTACATTCCGTATTTTATTATTCTATTCTATTCTATTCTATTCTATTCTATTCTATTCTATTCTATTCTATTCTATTCTATTCTATTCTATTCTATTCCTTATTCTTATTCCATTCCATTCCATATTTTTTCTATTCTATTCTATTCTATTCTATTCTATTCTATTCTATTCTATTCCTTATTCTTATTCCATTCCATATTTTTTCTATTCTATTCTATTCTCCTCTATGCCGCAGATTACCTCCCATCGGCCTGTACGCTCCCACAGAGTGGGTCTCCTCAGGGTGCCGTCGGCCAGACAGTGCCGGCTGGCGACCCCAAGGGGGAGGGCCTTCTCGGTGGGAGCTCCCACCCTCTGGAATGAACTACCCCCAGAGATCAGGGTGATCCCTGATCTCCCTTCCTTCCGCCGCGCCCTTAAGACATGGTTATTTCAGCTTGCTGGACTGGCCTAGGGGAAATTTTTAGCGGGGGTTTTAAAATATTTTTAAATTACTTAGGCCAATTGTTAATATTTGTCTTTTAATTATGTTTTAACTGTAGTATTTGGTATTTTGTAGTTGTTTTATTTGGTTGTTAGCCGCCCTGAGTCCGCAAGGAGAAGGGCGGGATATAAATATAATAAACATAAACAACATAAACATAAACATATTCTATTCCTTATTCTTATTCCATTCCATATTTTTTCTATTCTATTCTATTCTATTCTATTCTATTCTATTCTATTCTATTCGATTCGATTCGATTCGATTCGATTCCTTATTCCATTCCATTCCATATTTTTTCTATTCTATTCTATTCTATTCTATTCTATTCTATTCTATTCTATTCTATTCTACTCTATTCTATTCCTTATTCTTATTCCATTCCATATTTTATCTATTCTATTCTATTCTATTCTATTCTATTCTATTCTATTCTATTCTATTCTATTCCTTATTCCATTTCATTCCATATTTTTTCTATTCTATTCTATTCCTTATTCTTATTCCATTCCATATTTTTTCTATTCTATTCTATTCTATTCTATTCTATTCTATTCTATTCTATTCGATTCGATTCGATTCGATTCGATTCCTTATTCCATTCCATTCCATATTTTTTCTATTCTATTCTATTCTATTCTATTCTATTCTATTCTATTCCTTATTCTTATTCCATTCCATTCCATATTTTTTCTATTCTATTCTATTCTATTCTATTCTATTCTATTCTATTCTATTCTATTCTATTCTATTCACCAGCCAGTTACTAAGCACCTGGATTGGGATCATATGAGTGTGGAGGGTGTGCAATGGTTGTAACTTTTGTGTTGTTTTTTTCACCCACAATGTGGGGACTTTAAACCTCCAAGGTCTAAGAATTCTATTCTGTTCCGTTCCATTCCATTCCATTCCATTCTGTATTTTATTATTCTATTCTATTCTATTCTATTCTATTCTATTCTATTCTATTCTATTCTATTCTATTCTATTTGTTTCGCTTCTCCACACACTTAGCTGCGGCATAGCTCTTGATCTGGAATTGACAGATAGTAAATTACAGATAGGCCTTGACTTACGACTTATGACTAGAACTGAGGCCCATTATTAACTTTCTGGCCAGTTGTTAAGTGAATCACTGCAGTTGTCAGTCACACGGTTGTTAAGTGAATCGGGCTCCCCCATTGACTTTGTTTGTCAGAAGGTCGCAAAAGGGGATCAGGTGACCCTGGACACGGCAACGGTGATAAATATGAGTCAGTTGCCAAGTGTCCCAAATTTTGATCCTGTCATCATGGGGAATGCTACAACGGTCATTAAGTGTGAAAAAGGTCACAAGTTACTTTTTTCAGTGCCGTTGTAACTTTGAACAGTCACCAAACGAATTGTTTTAAGTCGAGGACTGATTGTAATATGAGGATGGGACACCACTAGGAAATCCTAGTGAGGTAAACGAGACAGGGACTCACAGTCTGGAGGAATCTTACCCTAAAAAGAACAGGGGGGGTGTTTGTTGAAATCATCAGGAACTGAGGTCCCTTTTAGGTGGTTATTTTTAGCTAATTTTAGTTCCTTGGAAAAAAGGAAAAAGAGACCACCAGACACTCCTAAATTTTCCCTCAGAAATTACCGGAAGAGAACGTGAATTGCCAGGGATGAAAGAGCATTTAACCCCTTTCCCTTTAGATCAGCGTTCTTCAACCTCAACGACTTTAAGATGTGTGGACTTCAACTCCCAGAATTCCCAGCTTTGCTGCCTGGGGAATTCTGGGAGTTGAAGTCCAGACGTCTTATAAAGTTGCTGAGGTTGTGAAACACTGCTTTAATGGCTGGTTTGTTACCAATTAGATCAGGGGTCTTCAAACTTGGCCCTTTTAGGACTCGTGGACTTCAACTCCCAGAATTCCCAGCTTTGCTGGCTGGGGGATTCTGGGAGTTGAAGTCCAGACATAAAGTTATTGAGGTTGCGATACCCTGTCTTAAATAACCTATTTTCTCTCCTTTGTTCCACTCACCTTGGCAGGCATCTTAATTCCAAACAAATAGACACGCCAGGTGGTAAGAACCTGTCGAGAATAATAATAATAATAATAATAATAATAATAATAATAATAATAATAATAATAATAATAATAATAATAATAATAATAATAATAATAGACAAATTTGCCATTAGTCAATTGCAAAAGGCGGCCTTACTAGCAACTGCTTCCATCCTGCGACGATATCTGTAATAACATCAAACATCCACATCTGCCTATCCCAGGTCCTTGGTAAGGACTCGATAGGTAGACAAAATGCCAAATCCAGTCTCAACATCTGGCTGACACTGCGATGATCCATAATAATAATAATAATAATAGAATAAAGCTAAGATTGGTGAGTTTCACTGCATAAATTGGGTATAATCAGAGATACGCGACATGGCCCTTTCCTTCTCCCCACCCCCCTGATTCTAAAATTATGGGGGAGGGTTATTTAAAGTTTGGCTTTACTGTCTGATCCATGTTCCCTACCCCCCCAAGGCCACCCAGGCTGGGAATGATGGGTGATGTAGGCCTTTGGAAGGAACCAAATCAGCCACACTGCCGGTGTAATAATTCCTCCGCACACCGTGATGCTTTGGGAGGGAATATTGGAAAGCAGAAGCGAGAAAGGCATTTGTGAGTTTGTTGCGTGTGCCAGCGAGAAAAAGACAAATTGACTAATCAGGAAATCGTGGGGGGGGGGGAAGGGGGAAGCGAGTGTGAGCCATTAAAAGATCTTCCGAAAGAGAAACATGAAAAGGATCAGACAGCATCTTTGTCCATTTGCAACGGAGAAGAGGTGAATTATTGATGGCTTAAGATTTTTTGCTTAGCAACGAGGTTGGGAGGCACCGAGGCCCGGAGATAATATACAACCGGCACAATTGCTCCCTAGACGTTGTTGTAAAAAAAAGAAAAAAAGAAAAGAAAGAAAAAAAAAAACCAGGAGTCTGGTGGCAGTTTTTTACGACTCACTCTTTTTTTTATTAAAAAGCAGAAGCTTCCCGAGGCGTCCGAGGAAGCGATCAGACGCTCGTGAAATCTTCTGCTTTTTCATAACGTGAGCCGGTTGGAAAAGACGCTACCGGGCTTCTAATTTTTGGCGACCACAAAGTCACCCTGTTCTTCTCCCCTTCTTATGCGTTGCGAAACTTGTCCGCCTTTCCTGTCTCCTTTTTATTGTTCTGGTCTGCTAACGCAATCCTCGGTTGTATAAACAGAGACGCAGAATCGAAATCACGGGAAGTGTTAGTACCGCTTGATAAAGCCTTTAGTGAGGCCACACCTGGAATCCTGCGTTCAGTTTTGGTCCCCACATTACGAGAAAAGATGTTGAGGCTTTGGGGAAAAAGTGCAAAAAAGAGCAACTTAGATGATTTAAAGAGGCAAAAACATTGGAAGAACGGTTGCAGGAATTGGATATG